AACTAAAACAGCACTTCATTTCTGTTTTAGCAGGTGGAGGAGGACAGGTACAAGCAAATGCTGGACAGAAGTGAGAGTGAGAATATTGCCAGCAGCTACTTCAAGTCAAAGAGGGCGAGCCAGCTCCTCGGAAGTGACACCGCAAAAGCCCACGGTGAGAAAAGAAACTGCGGGCTTCTAATTAGTACATATTACCAGTTAAATTAGTGAATTAGCTCTGCTGTTGAATGCTATTTCATTTTTATTTAGCAACATATTTGGATGCTGTGATCTTGTGTTTCTGCTTTTCATTAGAACCTTACTGGCAGGAACAAAAAATAATCACGTACTACACTTAATACTGTTACAGTAAACTTTTGTATTGCATTTGGGAAGCCTTTTCATTAGGTTATCTCTCTGAGCATTTTAAGTTTTGGCTTCTTTTTTTACCTTTTTTGTATATTTTATATTTTTACTTATTGAGACCATTTAGTTTTAGATTAGTTAGAGTTTTCTTCTTTTTCACTTTCTTACTTTTGTTTAGTTTTTACTGTTGTCTGTCTTTTCTCCTGCTGCCGTCCCCTCTCCTCCGCTAGTTAACGTGGCAGGCCACCTTTCCGTGAGTGGCTCTAACATGAATCTGTCTGTGAGCTCAGACGCCATCCTGCCTCGCCCCTTCCGTCTGGAGTCGCTGGATGTCCCAGTGTCCAACGGTAAAGTGAAGCGCAAAAAAAGCAAATCTCACATCCATAATGAGGCGACTTAAATGGACTGTGACCAACATATTTGCAGTTTTCTACAATGACACTTTTGATGACTCATCAAAAAATAAGTGTTGTATATGTATATCTGACTGTGAATCAGTGTATGCTTTTATGACGGCTGCTATCTAGATTTACACAGGACCCATTTATTGCCGATGTTACAAGTCCATTTGCGTCATGAGTTTTTAATTATTAATGTTAATTTTTAACTCATTGCTACCTACTGTATGATGCTTCCTCGGTTTTTCTTTTCTTTTTTGCACAAGACATAATTTAATGTTTGTTTGAGTTAGGTTCTTTAATATTAAAATATTTGCATTGTAATGTTGCTGATTTCCTTTTTTTTTACCCAGCATTTAAAATACTTGTCAAGAACAGATGACATCAAATTAACTGATGTCTCATGTGTTTAATTTCAATTACTTTACAAAAAAGCCATTAAAACTTGACTCCAGTGTATTATAAACAGTAGTAAATAATAATATCTAAAATAATATCAGCCTGCATGTCAAACTGTAGTACTCTGCTGTCACAAATGGATCAGGAAAGCTGTTGTCAAGGCAGCAGTATGCTAGGATATGGTTATCTCATGTTACACATCATCTCTGGTCACCAGTGTGGGTTTTGGTGTGATGTTAATTAGTAGATTCTTTATCTAAATGCAAATAACATATGTGAGACAGAAAGTTGTTGTTGCAGTTTTTAATCATAAGAATTAAATATTGAAAAGTTTATTATGATGTCAGTCCTCTTAAGGTTGCAGGACATGCAGAAAAAAATGCTGTTTAACTCGATCCTTCCTGCAGCTGTGACTATCTTATTTCTCATTTTGACACTGGCTTGATTTCTTTGTCTGTTGCTTAATGTTGCTCGCAGACAACATTAAGCAACAATTAAGACACTAGCAGACAACTGTGTCCGTTTCAGAGTCTGACATCATTTATTGTGGCGACACAATAGACATAGACACGGATACCTTTTGGCAGACCTGCTGCTTTACTGAGCGATAACACAGCTCTAATATCCTTCTGCAATAATTAACCACGAGCTAATCTGGGCTCTTCAGGACCGTTGCATAACAGATATCATGCCGTTCAAATAATCCATCAGGAGAAATTAGAAGTGTGACATGTGAGTGTTCCAAGAAAATAGAGACAGGGAAGTGCTGGGCTACTAAGTTTGCACAGAGGTGGAGCTAGAGATAATAGGATTATGGACGAACGGCTGAGCAGGCTTTTCCATCATCTGAGTGGTGTGTAAGATGAGCAGTATGGCTGATAGCCTTTCTGTAACAGGAGAGAGGTAAAGACTGCAGGGATACAGTCATAAAGCTTTGCCTCGGGGATCTGTGGGTTCGCTTATTAATCAAGACATTCAGGCTGAATATAGACAACCACAGCTTGCATTCCCATGTGCTGAAATGTCCTTGGGCAACACTCTGCCATCACTGATGTGAATGAAGAGTAACAGTAGGGTTAACACTCAAAACCAACCTCATGTATAGTGTTGGTTGTTTTTGCTTTTTGAACAGAGCCAAATGGACTGGTGTAATCTGGAATGTTTATCTGCAAATATTAAGATTTTATTATTTAAAGAGGAGAAAGAATTAGGAAATGAATGCAAGTGGCCAAAATGACTTTTCCCATGAAGGTTAGTTACGCTCAGCCTTAGATACAGGTTGAGGAAGTGAGGTGTACCAGTTGAGATCATTCAGACATTAAGATGCCTCCTGGACCCCTTGTTTTTGGAGGTTTTCTGGACATATCCAACTGGGAAGAAACCCTGTGGAAGACACAGAGCTCACTGGAGAAATTATATACACTATATGGACAAAAGTACAGGGCCACTATAACTTATAGTGCATAATGGTAGTGTGTATCTATGACGACCAGTGCTGGCAATCTCCATCAAAACCAAATGGCTTGCCGTGAACAAAGGAACGTAGCGCTGAGAAGATGCATAATGTGAGTGTAAAACACACATACAGGAAGTACTTGGCCAAGGAAACTCATGGAGGAGGTTTGAAGCTCATTGGTGATGTTTGCACGCAACCTGCCCTAGCACTCTGTGACCTCGATCCGCAATGTAGTCTGGGGTGCTGCTATCACAGCCCAACTTCCAATAAGGAAAAAAAAGATGGCTTAAAATGCAGTATATTAGATAAAAACTTTATTTTCAGTGACATTTATATCAATGGTGGAATAGACACAAATAATTAAATGGTTGTTTTTCGTTTCATATTTTCAGTGTTACACAATGAAGGCTGTGTAACACTCTTTAATCTACTGTACACTGTAAAAAAAAAAACAGTAGTAGAAAGAAACTGAAGAACGACTGGTGCATGAGTTCTTGTGTTGGACATAAGTATTGAAAATTATCCCGCAAAACTTGAAAAAAAAAATGCTAGAATATTAAAAGACTGCATGAACTGATCTGGTGCTTTGAGGATTTGCTCTAAGAAAAATCAACATGCAGGCACATTTGTGATTTATAAAACAATGAGTAAGATATCAGTTCTGGCACACCCTTATCCGTGTCTTTGATTTAGTACCTGTGCCAATAGCCAATAGAGTTTAAATTTTATATAACAGAATTTTGTTAGGTTTGCAATACATTAAGATACTATTTTCATACACTGATGCTCTGGATTTAGAAAATTTAAGGTGCAGTTTCTGTTACTTCTGAGTGCATTTTTAATTGTATTTTTAATAAAAAAATGTCTTTAGATGACTATGTGTTGTATATTTTAAGTGCAGAACATAAGTGTATGGCCCTTTAAACGCTTCCTCTCCTGCTTTTATTTGACAAAGTGCCGTGTGCCAGATTTCCACTTAACGCTTTAACTCTCTTTAAGCTGATCGTGTGCTTGTGCTTCTTTCTGAGCATTGCATTTATGCCAGCAGGCATCTGCTCTTTCAGTCTTTTAGCAGTCCAAGCTTTTTGAGAGCCTCTTTTCGATCACCTCCCATCCCAGGCACCACCATCACGGTGTAGCCTACTGAGTTTGAGGTTTTCTGGGGTACTGGGGGAGCTGTTGTGGTGGTCCTGGTGGTTGTCACTGGTTTGGCTGATTTGATGCTTTGCGGTTCAGAGGTGTTTCCACTACTTCTACAGTTGTCCAGGGTGGCAGACTGCTCCAGATTAGCCGTCCTCTTCCCCTTGGATTGAGCAGGATGTGATGCAGACCCAGGCCGCTGGTCATGTTTGGTGTACTGACGCAAATTGGCACTGGTCTGCAGAGGCCTGTTATTGGACTCTTTTGGCACTTGAGCATTACAAAATGATTGGCTCCTTGATGGATTACTATTAGCTGGACCTCTTGTAAACTTGTCAGCTGTTACACCCAAGGAGGAGTTAGGTTTGGGTGTAGGCAGTGGGGTTACTTTATCATTTTCTGCCTCTTGGCCTTTCAGGAGGCCCAGCTTCTGCAAAGCTTCCACTCTCACCACCTGGGGATCAGCTACATTCTTGACACTGTATGAAGAATCTGATATTATAGATTCTTCATTTTGAGTTTTTGCAGATATGTTGGTGGGAAACTTTTTGGGTTTTGGGGGAACAACTGGAGGACCTTTCTTACACTTGGAAACCTCTGACTGGGATTTGTCTGATCTTTGGAGATTTCCAAGTGTTGGGCCTTCCACCGGGGCAGAATGGCGTTTTTCTGAGTCTATAGTATGATCAACTGTTGGGCATAAAGGGGTCTTCTTTGTGGAGGCACTCCTCCGCAAATGTACAAGTGCGTCGTAGGAGAGAGGTCCTCTAGGTAAAGGACCCTCAGCTGTCCTCACTGAGGGTTTTGTGGAAGGAGGTATAACATTAGCCTCTGAAGATGTTGGGCGAAAAACTGCTTTCTGGTTGTCTTTGTATCCTGGTTTGTTGTTTTTAGATGTAAACTGAGGCTTAGAGGAGGTGGTTTTGACTGCAGGAGTGCCTGGTTTAGTACCGAGTACAGAACAGGAAGTACTGCTTGCAACAAGAAGAGGGGTGGGAACCAGGTAGCCGTGCATGGGCCTGGCATCAAAATGTTTGTTGATTGGTTTCTGGTGATTGGTTGATGTCTGTGAATCTGGAAGTCAAACAAGTACACATTTATCACTAGAAATTCTGTACACCTACCTAGAGCATTTCACTAAATAATGTGTCACTAATTCTGCATCTGTTCCCAGAGATTAACTCACCATCAAGGTTGCTTTTGCTCATGGAAGCTGACAGATTAGCCACTTTAGTAGCAAGGTTGCTGGAGCTGGGCAGTTGTTCAGGCTCGTCATTGGAGACTCCGCTGTCCTCCTCAGTATCCAAAGACTCAATAGTCTCCTCCAAAAACATGAGACAGGCCCTCTCCTCAGCAGACAAGTGCTCCAGACTATCATCACTCTGAAACGCATTAAAACAGGGCTTTCATTTAGAAAAGAAATCCACAATGAGAGATAGAAATCCTCTCTAAGAAAAGAAATAGACTTTTAGCTTTTATGTTACAGCTGTTACAAGTATCGTTTTGCCTCACTACTTCAAGTTGTTTCGTATATGTTTTGTGCTATTACTAGTGTACATATTCTTAGATTGAAGAGGGTAAACTTGGTTACTTACGAAGCCAGAATTAACACTGACCACACTGTCACAGCTGCCAGCACTCTCCATGCCATTCATTGTCTCCATTCCGGTGTCACCTGGCCAGGTATCACTTATGGGCATCTTAGTGCCCTACTTATCCACAGTTAGTGACACACCCTGTTGTTTCAATCTGAAATACAGAGTAAAATTACTATTGAAACTGTTCTTAGCAAAGTAAGAGATTTATTTTTTAAAAAAAAAGGGATATATTAATTATTCTCCACATTTTTTCCCTGCTATTAATTCTTTATGGCCCTGTAGACCATTTTCAACAGCACCATAGAAAACACTGTCCTTCACAAGTATCTCCCTTACAAGGTTTTACCCCATAGATGCATTTGTGTTACCTAGTTTTAACCTTTTGTAGGAATTTCTTAACAGCGTATAAAGGTATCATTTGACAAATGAGTAAGGATGTTTTTTGATATCTTTTGTTTTATAATTCATAAAAAATCAACCAAATTGTTGAATAGAAAGCAAAATAGGTCATATTCGACGCTGTGATAATGATACATCAATGCTAATGACAATCATAGGCGCAGCTAAAACTTTTCCTGCAAAACAAATAAAATCAGGAAATATAAGTCAAGCCATTTTATACGCAAACAGCACAGCATTGACCATTGGGTCTGACCATGTTTCATGTAATTTCTATGTGCTCACATTGTCTGCTAACTGTAAAGGAATTTATTCTCTGGTATGTTGATAAAAAATAATTAAACATCTGTGCAGCGTGACATCAACTAAGCGGCACATTTTCCAGATATGAAAGACAGTTTTATCTATAAATGGCAATCAGCACCAAAGGACTGTGTTCATATCCAGATCACTGTTGCTAACTACCTTTTAAAACAGTCAACTATAAAAATAAGCGAAGCGTACAGCTTCATCAATCAGAGATGAAAATTAGTCTGTGGTTATTTGAATGATATTGGTCTTATAACAGTATAACTGTAATCCTGTGTGTACACTATGGTTGAGTTGATGTTAGGTATTTGAGTCAAAACTGATAGATAACATTGTGCACAGAAAATGTATATAAACTTTATAATATCCAAATATGACCTGCATAACTGTGGACTTCATACCTGATCATGCAGCTAAAGAACAGCAAGGGCACAGCTTTATTGTAAGCACTGAAATTGACAAATGCAGGTTATCATAGCTCGGTGAGCTTCTAGCAGATATCTAACTAGTCCTCTTACTACATGTGACTTGGATTACAACCTGCATGCCACTCCTAATCTCTCTTTACCGGATCAATTTCAGAGGGAGTGGAAAGCAGAAGCAATCAGTCTCCTGAAGGCTATATGACACCTGTTTTAAAAAAGCAGTTTCAGCTTTGTATTTGGAAATTTTGTTCAATGTTTCGTTTATATGGGTATAGTAGCGTAGCTGCAATTTGAGAATAAAGGAAGTCCTGTCTGGACCTGGTGAAAAGAAATTCACTTTTGGATAAGTGTCAACACCTGAGATGCAAGGTCTGCCAAATAGGGCAGTGGAGGCACAAAAGCACTCCTGTCCACTGTTCGTGGTTGGCCATGCCATCCCATCCCTTTAAAATTGTAAAAATCCCTATGGCCACATCAGTACGCAAAGTCCCAGGTCAGGATATGAATCTGAACAATGTAAGTTCAGTGTTAACGTTTATTGTGATTTTTGACTGGCTTGAAAAACCTTTTCACATTTGTCGTTTTTATCTGCTTATTAGGTCCCAGTCACTCTGCTATAACCCTTACTCTGAAAAAACCCCCAAAACAAATCATACTGTAGATAAATGTTCTTCAGGTTCATATCTAACAAAGTGTTATCTCTTTAAGTGAGTTACACCTATCCTATCAACAGTAGGCAAAAACAAAAACTGGGCGAGTTTAGCTATCACAAGACTATGATGCACAAGTCAAAGCAATAAACTGCTGTGTCAGATTCTTTGGAAAATGTGGTGCAATGACAGCGTTGTTTTCATTGTGGCTGTAAAAGAGCATCTGGCTAAGTTTTTATTACCTTCGATGAATTCTGTGCAGGATGTTGTGTAATAGGGGTTATTATCATTTTCTCCACTGTACCCAGGCTTCAACCCACTTCCTTCACATTAATTACTGAATCCAAGCCTATCTTTTGTAACTAACATTATTAGCCCCAAACCGCCATAAAACCCCTTCACCGAAAAGTGTTTAAATACCGGTTAAGTTTAAGTCTAACACTTGACAAACAAAAAAAAACATAAAATAACTGCCACGAGCAGTAAATTATTTAAATAGCATCCAATAAATGAAAAATATGCTAACTGTTCCTTACCCTATTTACAACAGAGCTTTAGTTTTTAAGTAAATATAGGCGTACCTGTCCGTGCACGGTCGTCTCTCATATCCTGCTCCGCGTGCAACTGAAGTCAAGGTGAGCGCGCAACTCAGAGACACCTGGAAGAGGGACTTTGTCCCTTAAGCTTCTAGCCAATCAGAAGCCACATCCTCCTTAAGCCCCGCGAGTCCTCGTTTTCATTTTTTTTTTTAAACAAACAAATGTAAACCATTGCTGCCTCTGTCTGTCAGACGTATGCTGCCAGGACGGCTCGTTACTGGAAGTAATTCAAACATTTAATGCTCTTCCTCCATGTATATATGTATTAAAGTATTCTTTATGTTTTTATTTTTTGGGCGTCAGGCTTTGGGTGAACATTTAGGAAATATCCTCTAAAAAGTGTTGACTAAAAAGATAGCGCTTCACATATTTTTTTCAGTTAACTTTATTATTGTTATTATTATTGTCGTTCTTCTCCTTAATTATTATTAATGTATTTATTAGGAAAGAGAACAGGTGCTGTTTACTACAGTGCTGATTCAAACAGCACAGACGATGCATAGCTAGAAAGTTACATTTCACTGATACTGCACGAGTGATCTGGGTGGGTGTGTGTCGGTGGGGTGGTACTACGTGATTTTAAGTAATTAAGTGATGCAGTTAATCATTACTTGTTCATGCAGCAGTACACCACCTTCAAGCTTTACAAAGGGTCGCTACAGCGTTTAGCTCAGAGGCTATACCACCTTAAAGGCATCCTAAAGGGGCTTCCTATAGTGTCGTGGTTTAACACCCACGGTTCGATCCTGGAAGACACAACCAGGTTAAAATTTGCCAAACCAAATACGCAAATACTTCCGAGCCCAATCCATTCAGTTCACTTCCTAATTAAGAAAAAGTTGCAAATTGAGCATGTAGGAACTGGGGAGTGAACAATTTAAGTGTAATCAAAAACTGTTGCCAATTAGTTTAACAAATAAAAAAAGTCTTATTTATGCAAGCGCTAACGCACATTAGTTACCTTATTTGCTAACAAAGCTCAGATGTGGGACACAGCCAAAATCTCACTGCAAGCTGAAGTTAGAATTTCAGCTGGTGTTAACTTCCGTAAGTGGAGTGATTTTTTTCCCTTTTTTTTTGGTAGCTGTCGTTTCGGGGGGGTGCTACACTGAACCAGTACATTTCTGATTCCTGCATGAATTGCATCCTTTATGCAAGTCTTGAAACGCACATAAAACAAAATAACAAACTGTAAAGCTGTAAATGGGGTGTTGTATATGAAATATTTGTAGAGTTAAAGAGGTTTGTAGTGTTTTATGAAACATTAAAATATCACATTATTTAAAAGAAAAACACAAAATCTAATTCCTAGGCTGTGTGTGAGCTTTGTGTTTTGTAGCAGTGGTAGCTGCTACTGTTGGTCAAACAGTAAGTAAATTAATCCTAAATCCTATTATGAAAGGGTAGATGTTCCTTAAAATAACATGCGGGTAGTGTAATCCGACAATGATGGCACAGGACTAGGGTAAATTTGCCAGTTGGGATTTATTTTTAGTAGCAATGCACTAGATAAAGTCATAAGATAATAGAGTTGTCACAGTAATATCACAATAATTATTAATTAGCATTATCTATGTTACTTCCCATTTGTATTTATGTACAAAAAGATTCTAACCTTTAAATTTCACACTGCTTCTTTGTCCCCTTGCATCAAACCATTTAAAGAAAAATAGCTTAAAGATTTATTTAAAACCCATTAAAGCATGGCAGCAACAAAGTATCATCTCAGCTTGACCTGTCTCACAAGGGAAACTGAAAACTATTTAACTCTTTGTTAGTTTGTTTTACCTTGTTCTTCAAGCACTGCAGAATTTCAAATCATTTAGCCATGAGTAAACCCAGTATAGTTAACACAAAACAACTTTTACACATCCTATTTGCTATATTTTTTAATTGACAACACTGAAAAAAAAACAACAATCAAGTAAATCCAGTTTATTCTGTAGTGCTTTGTGTGCAACATTCACTGTTATTGTTAATCATGAGAACATGGCAAATACAAAATGCAACAAAGCCATTTCATGGTTTTATCAAGTTGATTATTCAGTTTTTACCAGCGTTTAAAATACCTAAGGTAGATGATGAGGTGGGATAAGGGGGGAAAAAAAAAAATCATACAAATAAGTTGTTTTGTTTTTTTTGCTTTCTTTAATTAATTACCGTCACCATCCGAATATGAACCAAAGTCAAAGTCCAGTCAAGGCTCCACTGTGAAGCTTTTGGCAACAATTCTGCAATCAAAGACCCGTCAAACACCATGTTTTGCCACAATGAGAACTAACCACAGTTATCAATCTCAAATCTTTGACTTTAAGTTAAATACAAGTGCTTTCTTCATCCTTATAGCCAGTGTATGTCAAAGAAATTAGCAAAGAGATAATGGATGATTAGCTTAAAATGTGAGAACAGACTCCTGTTGTGGGGGAAGAAAATAATTCATACAGTGAAACAGGAGTGGTAGTTTTTATAAAACATACAAAACACAGTAAACTAAATGTACCTTTACTTGTAATACATCCACCTAGAGCTATAAATGTAAGATGGAAATATTTGATGTTGATTAGCAAAGGACATTATGAGCAGCCTTTAAAAAGAAAAAAGATCTTAAAATACTGTATGCCTTACCTTGATTTGTTACAAATATAATGCTTGAATGGTTTTTCAAAGTATGCAGTCTAATTTAAACAACAAAAAACAGTTCTTACAGCATTTCAAACTTGTGCACTACAAAAAAAACAAAGAAAAACACTCATCAAAACCTGCGGCACAAATATAGAAAAATGAGCTACAGATTTTGTAACGCGTTTTGTTTACAGCACCATAACTTTTTTTTGCCTTATTTAGTCAAGCCCACTCACAATCAATGTTGCAACCCCCCCCCCAAACAAAATAAAGGCCAATTTTGCACTTGCAGTATGATACTGTATTCAAAATTCATACCACCATTGATCTTGTTGACCAGAGCTCAAATCCCCCCCCCCCAAAAAAAACAGTGTAACTTTGAGCTTAATAATCAAGGGACAAATCATTGCATTTAATGTCTACGATGGACGCAGAGTAACAGAGAGATGCATTGGAGTCTGCAATGAGTTATCTGTTTGTTACGCAATCAGAACAAGCTGTGGCCTATGAAAGCTCAGATTTTTTTTACCTACATTTTGATACCTGGATCTTCTTTTAGTCGTCATATCCTTCTGGATTAAACAAATGGCCAAATTTTGAGTCACCCCAGTGCAGATTCAGAGCATGCAACTCAGAAAATATTGACAATATGAATGATCCATAATTATGCTAAAGTTATTGTACAAACCAAACAAACAAACAAACAAAAACAATGGATACTGAGGAGGTTAGAAGTGTGTCTGATTGATTTTTCATCAAGTAATCCTTTAGAAGAATCCTGCTTAGCATTAACTCAGGCCGCCTATATTGAACAGTTCAGATGTTTAAATTTAAGGAAATTAGTGGAAGAATTACTTACATCTGCCCCCAAAGTAATAAAAACATGCTACATAACCAACATGATAAATAACAGTCAAGCTTGCTGTGCTGTGTTTAAGACAAAAGTGAATGTGATCACATAACTGTGCAAATAATTCTTAGTGACCGTTTTAAAATTCTTTGTTCGCACATCTTTGTTTCGTCAAGGGTAAGTTCTGCCAATTTTCTGCATCGATAACACATCCTAAACTGTTTGGTTTATGAACTTGTCCATGAGTGTTCTTAACAGATCGAAACAACAACTAAGAATTTTTTGCATCCTGACCCAGTTTAAAGAGATCTGAATATTATGGTTTCTAACACTGGAGCACTGCAGTAGCATTTCTGACTGTAAGAACTGACAGTAGTTAAAAAGTAATACTGAACAGGTAAGAGGCGGAACACAGTACCTGCAGAATCTCCAAAGATGTTGCCAGATAATGTGAGGTAGAGGATCACAAAAGCAGACAGACCCACAGAGTTGCCAGACGCAGGGCATGGGGGTTGGTGGTTGTTGTATTTGTGAGAGAGGAAAAAGACAGCAAGACTTTCACACTTCACCAAAATTAGCGTGGCCTGTCTCCTTGGCATGCTCACGAGCTTCCTTTTGTCCCACCAAGCCTGTCTGACACACCATGCAGCGCAAGGCAAAGCGGTTAACGTCTGTGAACTGGCGCTTGCGGCGAGCCTCGTCTGCCAGCTCGAGGGCCTGGGCCAGGATTACGTCGTCTGTAGTCGAGAAGATAGTCTGGGGCGGGGTGTCGGATCCGGGGATCTCTTTCTGCAGCGGGTCGTAGTGGATGCCATCATAGATCAGCAACACGCGTTTGTGGTAGCCAGCATCCTCCCCAAATCTGTCTACTCGCACTGTCTGAGTATCCACTACGCAGATCTCACACTGGTAGAACTTAGACATGATGGATACCTCGATGGCTCCTCCCCAAGTGTCATCACGTCTTATCCAGGTGCAGTACTCCTCATTGGTTTTCCCCAGCACCGCTTCAGAGTAAGCTGTGGGGTCACTCGAGACTATCTGGGCAATGAGACCTCTCATTTCAGGGGCACAGGCGGGGTCGTATACGCCGCCTTCCACCACATAATAAACACTGGTGAAGAGGCAGGAGTTATCAGCTGGGACCACTCGGCGTGCCAGCATAGGTGAACCTTCGAGGTTAGGTCCTTTCGTTACAGCGGGACGATCCTGAGGCTTTGGCTTGTTTTTTTCCTCCTCAACGATGAGTGTGTCTCCTGTAGAGGACGACACACCAATGACAACACTTTTCATCCCAGTCAGACTTTGGTTTAGAAAAGGAAGAAGAAAACACATTGCCTTATGTATATCTGTCTGAATGGTACCTGATTATGTTGCACAGATGTCCCTAAAATGTCTATTGCATGCAAATAAATCAAAGACTCAGTAACTCAAAAAGTTCTGCTTCTAATATTTCTGACCACATCCCAAAACATTCCTTTTATTATAAGCAATTAAAAGTTGAAGTTATAAAGACTGCTTATTCTAAAATCATACTTAAATTTTAACCTGTCCTCACAGGTATATAAATTCTTGTATATACCCAGGGTGCCAAATGTGCAGCCTCCATACAATACAATTATATCCGGCCCGTGAGATCATTTCATATGTCAATTATTAAAAGTCCCCTTGGTATGTGGAAGTTGAATCTTCAACCCTGCTGAGAATCCATGCAGGCAGGGGTGGGACTATTTTGATGGGCACACCATGCGGCCAATCACATGCAAAGACAGACTGGGATCATACCATTATGTGAAGGAAGGGGGCAAACCTTCCAAAGACAGCAAGTGTAGCGTACAGATACATTTCAATGATATTGGAGACTTCAAAGCTGAGTGCAGAACTTATAAGATTCGGGGAAGCCTAAAGTGATACCCGTTTTTATTTTCAGTCATTTTCCACTGTGGAGGACAAAAAGTTTCAAACTTGCCCAGGGCTTAAAGCTTGTGTGTTTTCTCCCTAGTAGCAGCAAATGCATAAAAATAAGGCTTTTAGGAAAAATTGCTTCCTTCAAAAAGACTAAATTTACAGTACAGTGATGAATATTACATAAAATAAACTCTATATAAAGCCTCACAGGCCTGAATGTGCACTTGAAGCCATTTATAATTGTTAATATGTTTGATCTGCTGCTCACCACAAACAAGCATAAGCATACATTTTGGACTTTTAACTGTATTCCCATAAATTTTACAGCTTTTCCTACTGATCAAAAACCTCCCTTATGGCTATTCATAGGAAAAGTAACAAACAACTCAACAACCACTGAACAGCTAAAACAGCAGGTAAACTGATTCTGCAAAAAGAAATGCAGAGCATGGATCCCCACATTCACCCGAAATCGCACTTCCAAAGAAATTTCAACAAGAAAAACCTTTAAATATGTAACTTCTTTACATTGACAGAAAGGAGCAGTTTCACTGGTCTGGCCTGCTTACGATCAAACTGGGCCGTGATGTAAAATGAGTTTGACACCTAGGGCTGAACGATTATGGAAAATAATCTAATTGCGATTTTTTGCCCCAATATTGCGATTGCGATGCGAT